AAAAAAAATAAAATAAAAAAACAAAACAACAACAACAACAAAAAACCAATCTCTAGGGATGGAAATCACAGCAGTGTTTTAGAAGGGGCCTGAGGATTGACCTGGAAGGGGCAAAAGGGAACTTTCTGGGGTGACAGAAACATTCTCTTTCTTGATTGGGATGTGATGTAGGTGTGTACATTTGTTAAACCTCAAACTGTGTACTTAACAATGGATGCAATTGATTGTATGTAAATTATAGCTCATAAAGCTGATTTTTGAAAAGTCATGTTTATTTTTCTCTCCTGCTGTGTTCTAAAATGTATTTAACGGGGGATATCCTTCCCCTATAACTTGGATGAACTAGAGGATAGTGATAGTACCTGTCATTGGATGAGTTAATACATGAAAATGTTGGTGATTTTGGTTGTCATTGTTCCTGTATTTCTTTTGCATAAGGATGAGAGGCGGGAGAGACAAGGAAACTGGTTTTCCAGATGACTTTGCATGTCCCAGCAATGCTCAACCATTATTTGTCCTTTTAATGCCCTGGTCAGGATAAGCCAGCCACAGGGTTACCCTGGCCTCATGAATGAATTGGGAAGTGTTCCCTCTTTCCCCGTTCTCTGGAAGAGCTTGGGTAAGATGTGTATTATTTATTCCTTAAATGTTTGGTAGAATTACCATTGAAGTTAGCAGGCCTTGGAGGTTTTTTTGCAGGAAGATTTTTGATGATTGATTCTGTTTTTTTTAACAGATATTGAAATATTCAGCTTTTCTCTGTCTTTCTCTGATAGTTGAATAAGTTATGTTTTTTGAGGAGTTTTTCTATTTCCTCTAGGTCATCAAATTAACTGGTATCAGGTTGTTCATACTAACCCCTTTATTGTCCTTTTTGACACTGAGCTAAGACAGACCTCTATCTTCTAAACCAGGGTAACTGTTGGTCTGGCAGGTGGTATATAAAAAACAAGATAGACGTGGCATGTCTTCCTGAGCCGGCAGCAAGATCCGGCAGAAAATAATTGTGTATTTTTAAAAGATAGCTGCATTATGGAACATGATACCAAGCATGGGTTGAAGAATGTCAAGTTTGCAACAGAATGTGACCCAGATTCTTTGGGGGGGGTGGTTTTACATGGATGTTCTGTCTGGAAGCTTCCGACAGTGTACTGGAGTGTCTATCCCAGCTCTCGAGACCCGATTGTTGAGTTTTTGTAAATTTTGCTAGCCGGTTGTACACAGAGATATTTAAAATGAAATTATACAAACTTGTGATTCAATATATTAAAACAAAAGTAATAGATACTCAAAGTTCACCACTTGTTGATTGGTTTACGATTATCTAAGATCTTGAGATTATCTGTGTCTGCTCTATTGACATCAATATGAATGGAGGAAATGCTGTGTAGGGGAGCGAAACTGCCCGTTTCGTGCCAACTCTGTGTTCAGTGATGTCACTTGATAGCTTGAAATCAACCACGTGGTTGTATTTACACCTAGAAATTGGCAAACACTGCAAATCAGGGCTTAACTTATTGTTTTGTTGCTTGTCTAGATTTTTTTTTTTGAGAGAGAGGGAGAGGGGTGATGGAGGAGCGGGGGAGGGGGACAATTTTAAGCAGGCTCCATGCCCAGTGCCATCCCGACATGGGGCTCCTGGGATCGACCCTGAGATCATGACCTGAGCCAAAATCAAGAGTCGGACACTTAACCAACTAAGCTACCCCGGAGCCCCTGTTTGTCTAAATTTAAGGAAGTAATGGAAAATGTTAATAGTACAGATGAAATGTAAAATGCGTTGTGTCTACAGCAGTTACATTGTGAATAGCCCCCCAAAATGAGGACTTATTCTTCCAGTATGTGAAAACTATCATTTGATTCAGTAAAGAAGTCGCTCACATCATTGGTGAACAAGTGAATTTCTGACATACTTCTTTGTTTCCCTCTTGTCTTAGTCATTAACGTAAATAAAAATGTAAGCTGACATTCATAGTAAAACTAAATTCATTCGTCAATGACATGAGTGACTTAGCTAAACCAAATAGTAATCAAGAATTTCTACACACAGGGGCGCCTGGGTGGCTCAGTCGCTTAAACGTCTGCCTTCGGCTCAGGTC